CCATCCAGTAACTTTTGTGAAAGAATTTTTGCCAATTTTTGAAGAAAAATGCAACAAATGAAAAAAAAGGCATTTGCGGTCACCTCCATCCAGTAACTTTTGTGAAAGAATTTTTGCCAATTTTTGAAGAAAAATGCAACAAATGAAAAAAAAGGCATTTGCGGTCACCTCTGGAGGTGACCGCAAAATCCCTTGCCCCGTGGCTTCCCTGGCCGCTGACAAATGGGCCCTGGAATAGTACATTTGCGAATTTGGTAGATCCGTGTGACCATCCTTTTACCCTTTTTTTTTGGGATTTTGGGATTATAGGTCCCCCTGTGAGTATGCCCTCAGTCTATGCGAGTGGTCCGTGTCAGGTTGGCTACGACATTTCTTATTTCTGCGGGCATGGCCTGCCGGGGCTTAGCTAGTCTTTATTAACATCAAAGCCAAGCCGGGCTGCCATCCGGCCGCAGCCCTGAGCTGAGGGAGGCTCTCGGGCCAGGCAAAGCTCATGCCACGACTATGGGTCTGGCCGCACGGCACACGAAATGAAAAAGAAATGAGTGCATCTGCCCACGATACACTCGTTACTATTTATAGCAAACAGACGAACCTGGCCATTTTCTGCAGGAAGATGCACTCGTTTCTTTTTTCGTTTCGTGTACCTGAAACGAAAACGAAACGAGTGCATCTGCCCAGGAAAGGTGGCAAAATACACTCGTTACTATTTATAGCAAACAGACGAACCTGGTTATTTTCTGCAGGAAGATGCACTCGTTTCGTTTTTCTTTTCCTGTACGGTGGGGCGACGCCCTATGTCAAGGGCAAAAATCCTTCTTCTCTTTGCTTTGTAGTGTGTTTCTTAGGATGGGGTAGTGATCTGATCTGCTCAAGTTGTGTTTAGTCAGAGGATTGTAAGGCTCATCACACTAGCACTTAGGGGAATGCATCCAGCCATTTTCACGGCCGGATCCGTGTGCCCCTATGGGGAACTTCAAAGTTTATGTTTTTATGTTATTGCAGCATCAAAACGAAATTCTGAATTTCTACAGAGGCTGGATTAAAATATTTCATTTTAGGTGCTTTTTCCTCTGGGATTTTTTTTTTTTTTTTTTTTTTTTTTTGACCTCTATAATTTTCTTATTCGGTTGTTCTATGCAAAGGCATATGGACCCAACGGGCGCACCGATTCAGCCACTGCGTTAACGGCCTAAAAGCGTGGCGGTACTGGAGGTTCGTCGGAGAGAGAAAATTTGTCGTCTGGAGTTCGCGGCGTGGGAACACTGGAGTGCAGAAGTCGGCTCTCTCCGGCCGGGAAGACGCCAGAGCGGGAAAGGGAACGAGGGAAGGGGAGCGAGCGGGAACTGTCGAAACGAAACACTGTGGATGACACCCTCTGGCGAGAGTGTTTTCTGGATGGGGGAGGAGGGGAGGGAGCAATAATCGCTCTCAGCTCGCGGTAGAGCTGTGGGG